GCTAAAACCAAAAGGAAACAATAACAATTAAATACATGCTCGTATGTGCACTCGTGATGCCAGTTGATAAGGCAGTTGCCCTGTAAACATTTGAAAGTTGAAATTTAACTTCCCTCTTTTCGAATATCCTTTGTGCATCCTTATTAAAAACTTTTTCAAAGAAGTGCTGAACGGGTACAAAGAAAATCAGAACATCCGTTGGTAAGTGGAATAATGGCAACAAATTAATCAGAGAGGCAATCAGAGATGAATGCGTAATTCTAGAAAGACATCTGAAGAAACTGCGAGTTTATGTTGGGTGTCAGCACGTGTGTGAAACCAAAGAAAATAAGTGCCAGATTTTCGACTCTTGTTAGTGGCAAAAAGGAAAAACTTTGTACTTGTATGTAGAAACAAGCTCACAATTTCCGAATCGTTTGAGGGCTTATGTGAATGCAAAACGTTTCAATTTCGAATCAAATTTTGTCAATCACTCATTGAATATAAATAAATTATTACATAAAATCAACTTCAATAAGAAATCTATTATAGTTTCATTTTCATAATGACCTGAACTTGTAACAGAACTTATGGCAGAACTAAGTATATACAGGCTGCCGAAAAAGTAGAAGATGATCACATGATGCTAAATTTTGCAATTGACCTCTAATGTCAGTTCTGTTTTGACAATTGTGTAGTAAACACATGCGAAATGCATGTAAACAAACAATGGTGTCACAACCGATATGCTGAAGTATGCATTTACTGGGCGTTTCTTCTCCCGCTTTCTACCGATTTGCACTGGTCAGCAAGATCGCCTGATTCGACCGCTCCAGACTTCTTTTTGTGGAGCTTTTTGAAGTCGCGGGCTTATATCAGGAAGCCTCAGACTCTTGCAGCTCTTAAAGGCAATATCCGTCAAGAATGTGAGGACCTATCGCCCTAAGTGCTGGCCAAAGTGATGGAAAATGCCATAAAAAGCGCTCAAATGACACTCAACTGTGGCGGCGGCCAATTACATGATATCATATTCTCGACTTGATGTAAACAAATTTAAAAGACCAAATAAAAATAATACCCTAGCAAAATCAAAGTTTTCCATTTTTAAAAAAGTTTTTCATTTTTGAAAAAACATCGGAAGGTAATTTTTGCTTGCGCCAAATGTTACTTTATAGGGTCTACAACGTTTATATCTTAATGTTGCAAACTGGCATATTTAATGCTTCCAGGTCAGGGTATATAATATATATGAAGATAAAAGCGATTTTTTTTTTTAAATATAAATCACATATATACATATATATTTATACATAGCGGGGTATAGTATATGTGATTACCAGTTGGGGGATCGTGATTTCCAATCGTGAGCAGAAAGCCACAATCATGTCTTCAATGGCATTATTCATTTGTTGCACCACATCGTGTCCGAAATGTCAATAAAAGGCAGAAGACTTTCGTCAAGCGGCAAAGAAATTGCTCACCCGAAATCTTTCGAGCCAGCATCCTCCTGATTTATATACCAACTCCTTTGAAAATGATGTACATGTGTATGTATGCTTATGCAACAATATGACTTTGTTCGAATAAGTACCATATGTTACGTGTTATTCTTCAAAAGTGTAACAATATGAAATATGCGAAGCTTTTACTTTTATCATAATATCGTAAAGTTTACGATATAAGAAAAATGTGGGTAGACAATGTTACTGGAACTGTTAAACATCTTTAAATTTCATTTTCAATTAAAAAAAAAAATATTAAATAAAAGGAATATATCTTGAACTTCAATAACACCGCGGATTAACGAAATTTCGTAAATAACATTTGAAATGGCAAAGTATTTCTGAAGTGAATATTGATACCATATTGTACACGACTTGCCACCTAATCAAGTTTATTGAAAACACATTATGAAAATCAAAATCACGTTTAAAATTTGAAAATATTTGCGACTAGGTGGCAACCCTTGACAAATATAATTACCAAACAATATGTGAAATAACGCAACACCTCAAACAAAAGATTTGGCAACATTTTAGTAGGAAAAGCTTGAGTAGAGTTGCTACCTAGTTTTTTTTTTTTGCATTTTCTACAAATAATCGGTCCATTATACCATATAGTTGCCATACAAACTGAACGATCTTTGTAAATGACATTTTTAATTTATTTGTTAAATAAACTTACTCTATACGAAAAGTCATAAAAATTAATTTTTTCCGACTTTCATGGGTGATCCAAGGAGAGGTACTTTTTTTAATTGCTTTTTTTTTTTTTCGACAGATCACGCCATTAAACCATATTTCCACACTTACTGTTTGCACCAAATATAATATAAAAAAACTCCGCCTTTTTGGTATTTTCAAAGTTTTTCTAAACATTTATTAATATATGTATGCTTGTATATATGAAAGTATGTATGTATGTATATGAAATTTATTGAATTGGCATTACACAATGAAAATAGTTATTATTATTACCATAAATAAGAACAATGCTTGAAACAATGCACAACATTCAAGTATTTCACTTAGCGGCTAGCAGTTAGCAGTTACAGCAATAAAACTAAATTGCTTCAAATTCTTAAACTTTATTTGTTCACGGCGGTGCGACAAATAGTACGCATAGTGTTTTCATTCATTTAAATGTGGACGTCAACGTATGTATCTAGTATGTATGTGTTATATTACAAAAAAATATTTATTTTTAAATGAAAACGCAATGGCTTAACACTAGTGGGGTAGGGAAGTGGTTATTATTTCCAAATTTCTGCGCGCCAGCTTCTCATAACTTAACCTAGAAATATTTACACTTCACAAAAGTAACCGTTTGTAAATGTAAACTGTGAATTTTAATGCAAAATGTATATATATTTTTTAATTATTGCTAATATGTT